TCACTTAATTCTGATCAATTTTTCATAAAACAAGACTTAATATCTGACGTTATTTTGCTTCTCCAGTAAATGCATCTTGATTTAAGGATGCTTAGATATTTGTACTGGAAAACAAGACTAAAATGCAATTTAAATGTAGTGTAAGATATTAATTGCACAATTTTGAAAACATATTAAGGAGTAGAAGTAACTTGTTACATTCAATTATAAAAAATAAAAAACAATTTCAGTATGAATATCTAAAGATTCTTAAATCAAGACATATTTACTTGAAATGCAAAATGACTGAAGATATTAAGTCTTATTTTCTGAAGAAAAAAAAGTATCAATATTAAGTGAGTTTATGTTTAAAACAAGAAAAAATATCTGCTGATGTGAGAAAAAATAATTTTAATTCAAATAGAAAACAAGATTTATTTTTAGTGTTAAATGTTAATTGTACAATTTTGAAAACATTAAAAAGCATTAAATATTTACAGAATGTAAAATGCATTAAAATGTATAAAATATTTATAAATGATAAACAGCTGCGCAGAGATGTTTTTTGTATTAGGTTAGGCTTTCTCTGGCCTTTTCACATATTTATTCATAACTTAATTCAATGGAAATACATACATTTACTTTTTGTTACCCCTGTGTGTGTTACCTCATATAAAAACATAACCCTAAATAAATAAAGCACTCAATTCTTCTTGAATTACATTCATGTTTCTTTAAATAACTTTAAACAACCTCCTAGAAAATTAAATGGGTATTTCATATATTGTTCCTAAAGCATAAAAATGACTCATATTTGTCATCATGTGAATCATTTTGTGCCCGTCTTCTTGTCATTAAACACTCCTACGTTCACTATTATCTGGAAAAATAAAAAAACAAGCACAAATCATAGTTGTGTTATTTATGCATTAATGCAATTACATCACTCCGTAAAACAAATAAATAAATAAACGCTATAAAATAATTGATGCAACTCTCTATATAAACAACAACTTATTAAAGCCTGGCATGTTTTTAAATAGAACCTTTAGAGAAATTATATTTAAAAACGAATTTGCATATCAGGCTCTTATGGCTCATATAGTCTGATACAGTGAGAATATGAAGGAAAAAAGGACTGAGTAATAATATGAATGATATGCTGATATTTCTCTGATGAAATTCTGATTCTTGTGCTGTAAATCAGTGAGATCTTTCTAACAGTGCAGCAGATACTGAGATAAAATGCTATAAATATCAGTCGTCTCTATATCTGCAGTAACATGTCTCAGTGAGATGAGACTGAAATGCTCCAAACATATAATGCAGTGATGGAGAGCTGAAGAAATAAAGGCTCCTCAGAAGATGTGAGATGTTCTGGAGGCTTGTGAAGATCATTCCTCCGCTGAGGAACAGTGAAAGTAAAGCTTCTGGAAACAAACGCTCCTCAAAAGATCCTGAGGATCAGATTTGAGACTCTAAAACATGATTGATGGAGAATCAAGTAAAGCTGAGCTGCTTCAGTGCAGTAAGAGTTCATCTGGAGATATTACTGACGTTATTCTGACCTTTACTTGATCAAAACCAGTCCAGATTTGACACGTGAAGTTCGAGCTGAAGCTGGATGTTTGTAGGATTACGGAAAATCATCTATAGATCTGAATACTGTGATAAAGAGCTATCGATTGAGCAGCGGCTCCTCAGGGTTTAACATGAGATCAGTCATTAACCCCCTCAGATGGCCAACATTAAGCAGGAGGCAAAATATTTCTATTTTTCCATCAATATTTTATCACGTGCAAAGCCGGAAACAAAGATAGAGCAGCTTTGAAAGTAATGGCCCCCATCTGCTTTTATAGATCTGATTTTGCCCTTTGACAGAACAGACGTCTGGAGACACTCACACACACACACACACACACACCGCTGCAATGAACCAAAGCAATCACACACGCAAACATCATTAAAACAACGCAATTCATTCATCAGTTGATATATTATTTACAGTGCATGTAATATATTTGATCAGTACAATCAAACTTGAAAATCGTGACCTCTCCTGGAGCACAAACACACAAAATGTAACACTTTTTCCAATCACCGACACTATTTATGAGCAACAAAGTCAAAGCTGTTTTCTTAAGAACAAGTCCTGGATAAAAGGACAAAGAAAATCAAGCTTGAATGCTTCTCCAAGTGACTAGAGACAAGACAGAAATAAACAGACAGTACAACAAATAAAATGAAATAAAATACCAGTTCTGAACTGTACAAATATATATGCAGAGATAACAGTCAACTCAAATAAATAAACAAATAACTATGCAAAAATAACAATAATAAAAAATAAGCACATAAATGTTCAAAAATACACATTAGTATAACTAAATAAATAAATGTACAAAATATATATGCGGAGATAACATTCATAAATAAATAATATACATATATTTAGAGAATAAAAAAAACAACTAAACAATAAATATATGTACACAGATATATATATATATGCAGATATAACGACAAATAAATATAATTAAATATGCAGAGATAAATTATAAATAAATAAACATTTGTTGAAAAATATACATTGATGCAGAGATAACTAATAAAACAAATTTATAAATGATACATATATGCAAAGATAACTATAATAAAAATAAGTAAATAAATAAATGTTCAAAAATATATATGCGGAGATAACATTAATACATAAATAAATAATATACATATATTTAGAGAATAAAATAAACAACTAAACAATAAATATATGTACACACACACACACACACTGATATATATATATATATATGCAGATATAACAATAAATAAATATGAATAAATATGCAGAGATAAATGATAAATAAATAAACATTTGTTTAACAAATTTTTGATGCAGAGATAACTAATTAAACAAATGTATAAATTATACATATGTATATATATATATATAACTATAATAAAAATAAATAAATAAATAAGTAAATAAATAATAATAACAGTGAGTAGTGATGCTTTACACCAGTGTAAACCGCAAACCCAAAAAGTGCCACTTTAGTCTGACTTTATGCCTTAAACAGCCTTTTAAACCAGTCTAATGATCGCACCGGAGCGTAATAAATCTATGAAGAGAGCAGATATGAGCTCATATCCATCCAGAGCCATTAGCCTGAGATCAAACCTCCAGAGCGTCTTAACCTCCAGATTCCTGTCATCCTCCTTAACAAATCTCAGCACTTCCTCAGATGCACACTGACGTCACACCAGTGCTCGATTCGACAGCAAATTATGATTTCGTTCCAGTCATAGTCTTTTGACTAAAATGCCATTTAGTTTTAGTCCTCTTTTAGTCCTCTGAATTGTTTTTAGTTTTAGTCAACTAAATATCATAAGATTTTAGCCGACTAAGCATTTCTCTAAAATTTCTAAACTCATTATATAGGTTTGATATTAAGGTTTTATCATGATAGACACAGATTTAACTGCGGTGACACACAACATGCCTTTATTTTTTAAATTTAAATAAAACCACTTCTCATAAAGAACAAGAACATGGTCTTCTTTTTAATGAAATGCCAATGGTTATATATGCTATTTATGCATTCTTTATAGCAACTTGTTTACCATATTCTTCATTCAATCAGACATATTTATTTCTATAAATAAATTTAGATTAATCTTTAGGGCTACTAAAGTTGTTCAGTTTTTCTGTGTTTCTGTTGTTGCTTGATTAACATCAATGGCTCGGACAATAGCAACTAAATTAGGCTGCTGTCCCTTTAAACCCGAATGCACAGCTGCAGTGGATGCAATGTACTGATACACGTTCTTCCTACTGTTTACGTTCACCTAAGACGTAATCAACTGTGTTTATACTCGTCAAAACAGACAATTCGACATCATTTTGTGTGTAATTCTCCGTTCATGTGACGCGAGAGAGTAACGTTACTCGCGCGCTGTGAGAGGCGCTTTCTGTGTGTGTAACGTTATGCTTCAGTGTCTGCGCTCAGAAAACCGGACCGAATTGAGTTCTCTCTTTTATCCATACGTCTGCTCTTCTCTTACTCCCACATATTGACATTTCTGAATGTTTTATGCGACGTGCAGCAAGTGTATGTTAGCTTCTGTCCCGCCGGTTCATATGTACGCATCTAACCTCGTAACCACGCAGCAGATTCCTTCTGAATGAATCTCTTCCCAAATCGTCCCTCCCTAACACTTTCGTCTCGTTTTTATTAGTTGGCGAAAATGTCAATAGTCGTCATAGTTTTTGTCATTCAAAAAGAGTTTTAGTTCGCTATCGTCTCGTTGTCGTCAGTGAAAAAAATGTTGTTGATGAAAATTATTCGTCAACGAAATTAACACAGGCTTCGCTTCTGTACCTTCTCCCGGATCTCCATGTCATTTGACATAATTGTCCGCAGACCCTTAATGGAGACAAGTGAGACGAGGGGCCTCCGCGGAGCAGCAGGGGCCCGTGTGAGTCTTGGGTTACTATAATTGATGTTAATAAAGGCCTGCGGTCATTGTGCAGAACACAGATCAGCGAGACGCATGCAGGGCACTCTTCTCAGGTTCACCTGATTGACTTCATGACAGCAGAGGATTACAAAGCTTTAGTTCAGACTCCAGTAAAGCGTGAACGAGAACACTGGAAGACATGTGAACACAAACAGAGGAGCAAAAGATGGTCGAATGAAAGCAAATTACAGTATAAATCACTGCTTTCTTAAGTATCATTAATATTAGGGTGATTAACTAAAAAATAAAACAATAAAATGTGAATAAAAACAAATTAAAGTATAAACCACAACATTTACATTTCTATTTTCAGGGGGGGTTTGTATTATTAATATCAGGGTGATTATAATTAACTAAAAGTAAAAACATTTTCGTTACTTGACATAAAAGAAACATTTTATCTTTTTCATTTAGTTTAACTTGATGCACTAAAATAACTAAAACTAAAAACAAAATGAAAATGAACAAAAACTAGATGTTTTTTAATTTTTTATTAAATAAAATGACAAAAACAACAAAATTACTAAAACTTTAAAAATATAATAAATGGAGAATATAATTTAATTTAAATTAATAATAAAAACATTTTTTTCAAGATATTAAAATAGCACTAATTAATATTATTGTATTTATTAATATTTTTTATAAAAAAATGTATATTTTCCATTTTAATTTTAGTTTATTTTTTATTTTGTAGTACTTTTGTCTTTTTATCATTATTATGATTATTTTTTCTATATATATATATATATTTTTTTTTTCTATATTTAAATATATAATATATAAATACAAATATATTTAAATATTTATATATAAGTATATTTAGTTTTTATACGTTTTTATTTCAGGTTTAGTTTTAGCAATTCTAGTATTTCAACTTAAACTAAATGAAAATTAGAAATGTTGCCTTGTCAACTAACTGAAATAAAATAAGCTTGAGTTAATTTAATATATATATATTTATTAGATATAGATTTTAATTTCAGTTAAACAAATGTGTTTTAAAGTAGTTTTTACTACAATTTTAGCACTTACACTATTATTAAAATTACACCACACACACTCACACTCACACACACACACACAAACACACACAAACACACACACAGACACGCACACACACACACACACACTCACTCACACTCACACACACTCACACTCACTCACACACACACTCACTCACACTCACACACACTCACACTCACTCACACACACACTCACTCACACTCACACACACTCACACTCACTCACACACACACTCACTCACACTCACACACACTCACACTCACTCACACACACACTCACTCACACTCACACACACTCACACTCACTCACACACACACTCACTCACACTCACACACACTCACACTCACTCACACACACACTCACTCACACTCACACACACTCACACTCACTCACACACACACTCACTCACACTCACACACACTCACACTCACTCACACACACACTCACTCACACTCACACACACTCACACTCACTCACACACACACTCACTCACACTCACACACACTCACACTCACTCACACACACACTCACTCACACTCACACACACTCACACTCACTCACACACACACTCACTCACACTCACACACACTCACACTCACTCACACACACACTCACTCACACTCACACACACACACTCTCACACACACCCTCACACACACACACACGAACACTCACACTCACACACTCACACCCTCTCGGACTCACACTCGCACTCGCACTCACACAAACACAAACAATCACAAACACACTCACACTCACACACTCACACCCTCTCGGACTCACACTCGCACTCGCACTCACACAAACACAAACAATCACAAACACACTCACACTCACACACTCACACCCTCTCGGACTCACACTCGCACTCGCACTCACACAACACACACACACACACACACACTCACACACACACTCACTCACACTCACACACACTCACACTCACTCACACACACCCTCACACACTCATACTCACACACTCTCACACACACCCTCACACAAACACAAACACTCACACACTCACACACTCACACACACACACACACACACTCACACACACACTCTCACACACACCCTCACACACACACACACGAACACTCACACTCACACACACTCATACTGTCTAACTATTCGCATGTTGATTTATTGTGATTTTTACAGAGAGAACTCTAGTAACACTTGTGTTGTACCGTTTACTCTGGTAAATCTGTGCCCTGAACACAGAGCTATAATCAGAAATGAAGCGGAACGAAGGGTTTTGTCTGAACAGGGCAGCTCACGCTCACACACACATACACACTACACTCTCTCTCTCTCACACTCTCACACTCATCAGACTGAAGCCTCTACAAACACACACCTCACAGAAAACAGGAGATGTTTGTCCTGACGCTATTTTACTTACAGCCCAAAGACCCCTGAGATTTGAAGTTTTGTATTTCAGTAATTCAGTGACACATTAGCATGTTCCTGGTCACATGACATGCAGGTAAATACATTTTTAATGTTTTATTTTAACTTTGAAGCTGCACTTTAAAGTGGATGCACACAAATGATAGTTTGAGTCCAGATTACATTCACACATATAGGAACTCAGTTCATTTGAATTAATTGATCATTAATAATCAATTATTGTTATTATGCTTTTATTATATTATTTTATTAAATGTTTTACTATTTTACTAAACTATTTTACTAAATATTTGTATTTTATTATTTTTTATCTGGTCATTTTATTAATTATTTTATACAACATTTTATACAACAATAATAATAATTACTTATTTTTATTTAATTAACTATTATTCTAAAATATAATATTTAACAATAATATTATATGATTTTTTTTACATATAATATCATATTTTCATATAATAATAAAAATAATAATTATTACAATTATATCTTCTTTTAAATAATATTGACATAACATATCATATTTTTATATAATAAACCATTATTATTATTACTATCATTATTTAACTAAGTATACAACTGAAGAGAGAAATATTACTGTTGTAAATGACAATGGTACAATAAAATAAAAAGTTAATATTTAATAATTATAATAATTTTATTTTACATTAAAGGTTATGGTCTTCACTTTTAATTATAATTTATTAATTCACTATAAATTCTTCACTTTTGACATTTCAAATCCTTGAGCTTTTATATTGGAGGTATACCGTTGAAATGCTGTAAAATTATGAAATCATGCAAATGCGCAAATAAAAATAAACCTAGTGAGTGCTGTGCTCCCAAATGCATATTATAAAGCGGAGAGTTCCGGTGCTTGATTCTGATTGGCTGAGCCACGTTCGAAGCAACAGACAAACGTAAACAAAGGTGTGTGTTACTTTGTAGAATCATTTACAACAGCTTCGAACGCGGCTCAGCCAATCAGAATTAAGCACCGGAACTCTCCGCTTTATTTCTTTTAAATAATATTGACATAACATATCATATTTTTATATAATAAACCATTATTATTATTACTATCATTATTTAACTAAGTATACAACTGAAGAGAGAAATATTACTGTTGTAAATGACAATGGTACAATAAAATAAAAAGTTAATATTTAATAATTATAATAATTTTATTTTACATTAAAGGTTATGGTCTTCACTTTTAATTATAATTTATTAATTCACTATAAATTTAAACTTTGTAGAATCATTTACAACAGCTTCGAACGCGGCTCAGCCAATCAGAGTCAAGCACCGGAATATATATGAATAACGTGAGGTGTTTTTACCTGACCAGCTCCTCGTTGTAGAGGGATTTGGGCGACTCTCGGCCGAGGATATACACCTGACCCTTAAAGACAGACAGCTGCACACAACCCTCCACGCTCTCCTGAGACTTATCAATGCAGTGACGGACGAACTCACACTCCGGACTGTACCAGAACCCTGAGAGAGAGAGAGAGACAGACAGAGAGAGAGACAGAGAGAGAGAGACACAGACACAGACATCTGATTTAAAGAGTTTAAAACCTCAAGCCTGAGGCTGCGACACAGCGGCATTCACCAAAACTATTACAAACATTTGTGTCCATTGATAAAAAAATATATAAAATAAACATATTAGATAAAAAACTTAAACTAAACAAAAATTTCAAATGCTGCATTGGCAGCTAACTGAAAAAAGTTGAAAAAGTTGAAGCACTAAAATATAAGAATAGATTAAAACTAAACTAAACTAACTAAAATAGATGAAACCTAAATAATAATATTATAAAAAAAGCAATTTTATTAAATTAAAATAAAAAATTAAATAAAAGCTCATTCAAAATATTAATAAAACCAATAATAGCATATAAGTAATAATAAAAGAACACTGGTCCCATTAACATCATGATTTTAACTATTTCACTACATGATGTTTCTTCAAAACTTCATTTCTAACTATTAGCACATTTTTATCAAAACAAAGAAATAAAAGCTAAATATCCTGACTTCATAAAATGTCAACACTTTTATTATGGTCTTCTATAATTACAGAAGTGTATCTTTATAGCCTTTAATTTCTAATAAAAACATACTGACCACGTCATGACCTACAGTATTACAGTTTTACAAATACTTAGAATTTTTATTTTTACTTTTCATTTTAATTTTTAATAGTTAAAATCATGATGTAATCATATGTTAATGAAGGACCAGTGTTGTTTTAGTAATATTTATAAATTCTATTATGGTTTTTATTTAATGTTTGAATTAGCGTTTGTTTTTATATTTTTACGTTTCGTTTTATTTTTAGTTTTCTTTTTTGTGATTTTTGCTTTTGTCTTTTTTATTAATTAGGGTTCATCTATTTTAGGGTTAAAATTATACATCACTCAGATTTTTTAATGTTCTTGAACATTGAGTCTCTTCTGCTCACCAGGGCTGCATTTACTTGCCCAAATAAATTGTGAAATATTATTAGAATGTAAAACAGCTGTGTTCTATGTGAATCTCTGTTAAACTGTAATGTATTTCTGTGATGCGCAGCTGTATTTTCAGCATCATTCCTCCAGTCTTCAGTGTCACATGATCTTCAGAAATCAGTATAATATGCTGATCTGCTGCTCGAGAAACATTTCTGATTATTATCAATGTTGAAAACAGTTGATATTTCTGTGGAAACTGTGATACATTTGATTTTTCAGGATTCACAGATGAATAGAAAGTTCAAAAGAACAGCATTATCTTTTGACACATTATAAATGTGTTTTACTGGCACTTTTGATCAATTTATGCATCCTTGATGAATGATTTCTGTCGATACTGCAGAGTTGTGATGATATTTAGAGAAGCTCTAAAAGCATGATAAATGCAGGTGATGATGAAGTAACTGCTGTCTGGATGAGTTCCGCAGGTTCTGCAGTGATTTGTTGTTCTGTCAGCGAATGACAGTCTCCGTCTGAGTGAGCGTGACACACATAAACACCAGTTCACTTCATTCTGCTGGACCGTGTCACATAAACACAGGCTGTCAGGGTCTTTATTGAACATCCTAAACGCTGACTTTCAGAAGAATAGGTCTGATCTTCTGTGAACCATTGGGGAAAACAAGACCTCGCATATTTTTCCAATTCCGACCTGCCACTCCGGAGACAGAGGAGGAAGACAATTTGCCAATCAGAGACTTATTCATCTGAAACTGGGATTCTGACGCGGCTCTTCAGAAAACATTTGATGGAAGGGAGGAAAAGTGTTCGCCAACAGTTGGACAAACATCAGACGTGAGGGAATTTACATACGGTTCAAGAATTGGAAATTAAAAGTGAAGCGTTTCATTTCTGCACCGTTCCATGCATGGAGTAATTTCTGCATTGCAACACTGCAGCAAAGAAATTATGATCAAATTATCACTTAAAAAAAAAAATTTGTGTAGAAGCTATTTTCACTCAGAAATTGCTAGTAGTTTGACACAGTATTGCAACAACCATTGATTTCACTAGCAACGCCAAGGTCATGGGTTTGATTCCCAGTGAATGCATGAACTGATCACATGTCTATCTTGAATGCGATGAAAGAAGTCGCGTTTGGATAAAGAATCTGATAAATGCATAAATGTAAATTGAGAGTCGTACCTCTGGACTTCATTCCAATGAAGCGGTTCTCCACAATATCGATTCTCCCCACACCATGCTTTCCACTGTGAAACCAGAGAATGGGTTATTGATCAATAAATACATACCAATGCACATATTCTCCAGTGACACATACACTTACTGTACCAAATGACATTTGTATGTTAATGTGGCTGATTATGAAGGGATACAATCTGAAGTTTCTGAAAGCCCCCTTAAGGAGCCACAGAGAACCACAAGCTCTGATCATCTGCTGAAGACGTCATATCACTCCTGAAGACATGACAGTAAACACTGAGATGGAACTCCTTCATGCTCACCCGATCTCATTCAGATAGCAGAAGATCTCCAGCGGTGTCTCTTTACACGTTCCTTCCTTAACATGCCTGACTTTGACTGGAACACCTGAGAGAACCAACATACATCAGTGTGAGGAACATCATCCACATCAGAGAGAGAAGAGACGGAAAAGAGCTTCAACGCTCTGCTGCTCGGAAATGAGAGAGAGAACGACAGAACAACAGAATGACGGACAGACGGATGGATGGAGGGATGGATGGATGAAAAGATAGATGGATAGATAGATGAAGAGACAGATGGATGGATAAATGAGATGAATGGGTAGATGGATGGATACATGGGTGGATGGATGGATGAAGAGACAGATGGATGGATGGATGGATGGATGTGTAGACGGATAAATGAGATGGATGGGTGGATGGATGGATGGATGAAAAGATAGATGGATAGATAGATGAAGAGACAGATGGATGGATGGATGGATACATGGGTGGATGGGTGGATGGGTAGATGGATGGACGGGCGGGTGGGTGGATGGATAGACGGATGGATACATGGGTGGATGGGTGGATGGATGGATTGGTAGATGGATGGATACATGGGTGGATGGATGGGTGGATGGGTAGATGGATGGATAGACGGATGGATACATGGATGGATGGGTAGATGGATGGACGGGTGGGTGGATGGATAGACGGATAGATACATGGGTGGATGGGTGGGTGGATGGATGGATGGATGAATGAATGGATAGATGGAGAGAGATGGATGAATGAAAGGATGAAAAGATAGATGGATAGATAAATGAAGAGAGAGATGGATGGATGGATGGATGGTAGATGGATAAATGAGATGGATGGGTAGATGGATGGATACATGGGAGGATGGATGGATGAAGAGACAGATGGATGGATGGATGGATGGATGGATGGGTGGATGGATGGATGGATAGATAGATGAAGAGACAGATGGATGGACGGATGGATAGATGATGGATAGATGGAGAGACAGATGCATAGATGGATGGATGATAGATGATGGATAGATGGAGAGACAGATGCATAGATGGATGGATGGATAGATGGGTGAATGGATGAAGAGACAGATGGATGGACGGACGGAAAGGTAGATAGATCGACAGACAGACAGAGAGATAGATAGATAGATAGATAGATAGATAGATAGATAGATAGATAGATAGATAGATAGATAGGTTTTAATCTTCATTTTCATCACTACATCTGTTGTTTTGTCAGTTTGAATAAATTAAAAATGTATTTATCTTTCCTTAAATAAATCAGTGACATCTATTTCATGTGTGGCTGAAGAGTCTAGTTATGTGTTTTGGTGGCTGCTGTAGAAGAGCAATGATCAGATCAGTCTGCTTGTACTCCAGCCGTAACGTCAGCGCAAACACACTCAACTCCCATAAATAAATCACGCTGAATAGTCGACTCACTCATAGCGTGAAATGAGCAGCTCAGAGGCCAGAGGTGGAGGATACCAACGGATCGGGGGGGGGAGGCGGAGCTGAAGGAAAAGAGGGCGGAGAAGACTTTTGAAGGAGAAAGAAAAGATCCCTACACGGGTCTGATTAGCATTTAACACGCTCATGAAGGAGAGCCTGTAGTTCTGCTCATCCGTTCACAGCTGTAAACGCCAAAAAACAGCATTATTTACTGTCATTTCAGACTCTGATGTTGTTCATTTTTCCATAGGGGACAGCTGAAAACAATAATCTTTGTGCAGTTTTTAACTTAGAATTTTGAGATCTGAACTTGACATTTGAATTTTGAACCAACAACAGTTTATAGTGACCACGTCTCCAAAAAGAGAAAAACAGCATGAAAGTATCTTAATATTAGTCCATAGACTCTATATTTCAAGACTTCTAAAGTCATATGTGTGCAATAGACTCGCATTTAACCTGGTATTCAATAATAATTTCTCAGATATGATGTGTCAGGTTTGGTGTAATTTGACCGCAAGATATGAAGCATGTTAGACGTTAATGGTTCTCACATTTCTCAACATTTATGTCTCATACATTTTGTTATGTACTCTCACGACATTTCATTTCACACTCTGATGTAGTCACTTTTTCCATGGATCACAACTGAGAAAAAAAAGTTTAACATGAATTTTGAATCAACATCAGCTGAACAAAAAACAGCACAGAAGTATCCTAATATTAGCCAAGTCTTCTTAAGTCATATGACCGTTTATGTGGCCATTTTTAAAGTGTTATTCAATAATATTTTCTTTCATAGCAAATATGGCGTGGTTACACGTGTTATTTTAGTATCGGATTTATTTTCTTAATAGTTTGAATTAGTTTAGATTTTTATATTTCGTGTTTTTATTTTAAATTTCGTTAAAGTTTTAGTAGCTTTGTTGTGTGTTTTTTCATTTTAAATTATTTTATGAATATTTTATTACTTAAACATTTTTTTAAATATGTTTTATTACTTTTTATTTCAGTTTAAGGTTTAGTTATTTATTTTAGTGCATACGTTAAAATAAATGAAAATGAGAAATGTTTGGGAACTAGCTGAATTTTATTTTATTTTATTTCAATTAACAAAAACAAAAAAAAATTATATATTTTTTTTTAATTTTTGTTTGAGTTAACTATAATAACCCAGGTGTTATGTCATGTTTGACTGCAAGATATGGCACAGGTTGGACATTTATGACCTCAAATGTCAACTTTCATGACTCATACGGTCTCTTTTATGACATTTCTTATACTTTTTGAAGCTTATAAGTCACTTTGAACTGTTGTTGCATGGAAAAGAGTAAATAAAGTCACTTTTGGCCAAACTATTCCCTTGAGAAATATTCTCAGGCGAGAAGTTTTCATATCCAGAGTCCTCGGACCACAGGGCACCCAAAAGAGCAGCACGCAGACAAAGCCCTCGAGCCCTTCAGATAGTTAATAATTCGATTAAAAGTTCAAATAAATGAAACAGCGCATGAAGACGGAGTCTCTCGGCCACTTCTCTCTCTCTCTCTCTCTCTCCGTGTGCACCGCATTCACCGCACTCTTTCTCTCAGCCTTAGAAAAGCAACAATAGGACAGAAGACACAGTTGTAGGAAAAATTACCGCTTTACATTTTTCCACTCTTTCCCCGTCTTTCGCGCCGTCCCCCTTTTGAGGTGCAGCAGAAGACGTGGCAAAGAAACGGGGGTTAAAATGACAAGAGGGAAAAGGTTTGGTCTCTCTCAATGAGAGAGAGTGCTGAGAAAGTGAGGAGAAGAAAAGACGGAGCAGAATAGAAAGATAAACCAGGTCTTTACAGGGGGGCTTCTATTGTGAGAATCACTAAAACAGCTTTTCTCATGGACATTAAATGGACGTGCTCAAATATCTATGAATACTGATGGCCGATCAAAACAGATCATAGAGCACAATGACATCGCTGTCTGATAAAATCACATTACTAGTTCACTCGGGGTCCCACACAACCATTGAAATTCTAATTCCGCAAATATGGGAACGAGAGTTTGACTCCCTCGCGCACTTTGTTTAAGTGTCTGGAAACAGTTTCTTTGAGAAACCAGCAGAGACTGACCGAAACATTTCACTGCACAAACACATGCTGCTTCATTATATACTATACAGCACATCTCCACTGCATGACTGTTTGTATCATTGAGAAAACTGTATTATTGCACAGCTCCACATGTAAAGAACAGATATATGTAAACAACTGCAAATGTGTGTGTGTGTGTGTGAGTGTGTGTGTGTGTCTATATATACACACACAGTCAAACCAACAATTATTCAGACACCAGATATAATTTTTGATATTTTTTTTACTAGTGGGTGCATGAGTGTGTGTGTTTAGAGTGTGTGTGATTGTGTGTGTGTGTCTGTGAGTGTGCATGTCTGTGCGTGTGTGTGTGTGTGAGTGTGTGAGTGTGTGTGGGCGTGCGTGTTAGTGTGTGTGCATGTGTGTGAGTGTGTGTGTGTGTGTGTGTGTGCGTGCGAGTGTGTGTGTGTCTGTGTCTGTGTGTCTATATATACACACAGTCAAACCAAAAATTATTCAGACACCAGATATAATTTTTGATATTTTTTTTACTAGTGGGTGCATGAGTGTGTGTGTTTAGAGTGTGTGTGATTGTGTGTGTGTGAGTGTGCATGTCTGTGCGTGTGCGTGTGTGTGTGTGAGTGTGTGTGTGAGGGCATGCGTGTTAGTGTGTGTGCATGTGTGTGTGTGTGTGTCTGTGTGAGTGTGTGTGTGTGCGTGCGAGTGTGTGTGAGCGTGTGATAATGTGTGGGTTTAGAGTGTGTGTGAGTGTGTGTGTGTGAGTGTGCATGTCTGTGCGTGTGTGTGTGTGAGTGTGTGTGTGAGGGCATGCGTGTTAGTGTGTGTGCATGTGTGTGTGTGTGTGTCTGTGTGAGTGTGTGTGTGTGCGTGCGAGTGTGTGTGAGCGTGTGATAATGTGAGAAATGTTGAAGGTGTCTTAATTAATTTAGGTTTGACTGTAGTATATATATATATATTTTTTGGTAATTAAAATACTTTTTTTCCCTGCAATTAATGTTAATTTAATGTTAGATAGTAGTTTACCGACTCATGAAACAGTACACTCACTATGAGATTTGTGCCTGTAAACAGCAACAAAACAGCAATTCGCAACACATCTGTAGAAAGTGTCGTATATAACAATTCTGAGACACATTCACTAACCTTTAGCGAAGTGGATCTCCAGCACGTCTGGCTCATTGGGAGAGTCTTCTGGGTTCTTGGTCATCTGGTAGAGATCTGGAGGTGCGTGATTCTGACAAACAGCATTCATTCATCAGTACATCAGCAGGGCTTTATGACAGAGATTCCCACAATCCTGTTAGTGAGCTGATGAAAGGCTAATACATACTTAAATGCAGTTCTGTCAAACGATTAATCGCATCCAAAGTAAAAGTTTTTGTTTACATAATATATGTCTGTGTACTGTTTATATTTATTATCCATATATAAATACAAACACATACAGTATATTTTTCTTAAATATATACATGCATGGGTGTGTATTTATATATACGTAATAAATGTACACAGTACACACAGATATACTATGTAAACAAAAACTTCGCAATTAATCGTGATTAATCGTTTGACAGAACTACTTAAATGTCAAATTAAAATAAATAAATAATTGTACAATACAAACAATCCAAATGAAACACTTTCAAATATTTCATTTGTTTATCTGCATTTCATGTGATATTAAATGGCATCAGAGAACCGTAAAACATGCAAATGTGTTGTTAAATTGTTGAAATATTATATATACAATATAAAATACAAAATATATAGAAGATGCATATGGTCCAGTGGAAAACATTATATCTCGCAATTTTGAGTTTAAATCTCGCAATTCTGAGTTCATATCTCAATTCTGAGTTCACATCTCAATTCTGAGTTCACATCTCAATTCTGAGTTCATATCTCAATTCTGAGTTCACATCTCAATTCTGAGTTCACATCTCAATTCTGAGTTCACATCTCAATTCTGAGTTCACATCTCAATTCTGAGTTCACATCTCAATTCTGACTTCACATCTCAATTCTGACTTCACATCTCAATTCTGACTTCTGACTTCACATCTCAATTCTGACTTCACATCTCAATTCTGAGTTCATATCTCAATTCTGAGTTCACATCTCAATTCTGAGTTTATATCGCAATTCTGAGTTTATATCTCGCAATTCTGTCAGAAAAAAAAGTCAGAATTGCGAGTTTATATCTGGCCATTCTGAATTTATAACTCGCAATTGCAAGTTTATATCTCACAATTCTGAGAAAAAAAGTCAGAAATGTGAGATAAAAAGTTACAGTTACCTTTTTTTAGTTTTTTAAATCAGTGGCGGAAACGGGCTTTTTGTAAGTTATGAAAACATTATTTCTGAACATTAATGGAACATTCCATTGAATAATTTTGCAGACATTATGGGAACGTAACTTTTGACTGTTCTCTGAATGCTCTGATACAAGTAGTAACATTTAAAAAATGTTAGACGAACATCTAACTAAAATGTTTTTTAAAAAAGGTTCCATGAACAATATATGAATAACGTTTTAGTGCTAACGTTTTCAGAACATTACAGACCACATGACTTTGAACAAACCTTCTAATTGGTAGAATCTTTGTTCATAACTTTGCCAGAACGTTCCGACAACGTTCAAAATAGAGAATCACTGCTAAAGTGCTGTTGAATCCTGCAGCCGAATGGATGCATTTTGATATATTCTGCTTTGACTGACACCTTTTGCAGGACAAAGTACTTTGTTCCATGCAAAAAAAACATTTATTTATTGTCATGTGAGCAAAAGACGAAAATAAAAGCCCACATGGTTTGAAAACCCATCAAGTCTTCATGTCAGACAGATGTACTTCCACTCGGTGAAGCCAGGGGTTTCTCTCCATCAGCTGTGTGTGTGTGTGTGTGTCCATCAGACGGCGTTACCCCTGCCAATTACCACAGATTACATCAGGATGACAGTCCGTGTGTCCTGAGCTGAGGCAAATTGCAGGGGAACTATGCAAAATAACCACCGGGTGCATTTAAATGGAAACCTTTACCAGACAAACATCATCATACGATAACTAATCTCTGTCCAAATGCACGTCCGTCTTTACTGTCGCTTTAACTAAACGCCGTCTCTGACTGCGCGGCGCTACTTTCTTTATTTTCTGCTTCACTAGTATCTGTCCTGAGATAAAACTGGTGAAATGGCCTTAAAAGCCATTTGAAGAAGCGTCTGGAAGGGTCAAATTAATGGGTAGAATTTTAACACAAGAGATTGAACGCTGTTTGTGTGCCGAGTCTCGATGTTTTATCAGACGTATAAATCCATGCATCTGAAGTGTGATGCTATTTCAATGCATGGCTTGTTACTTTACGGCGTAAAACACAAGGTTTTTAGTGATGAAAGTAGTTTAGTGATTAGCATATCTTAGATATGCTCAGTAGTCAACATTTAGATCAAAAGAGTTCATCAAAGTTGTCGTAAGACAAGAATGCATTTAGGTTTTAGGACAACTTTGATGAAAGGTTTTGATCCACTTCAAATGTTGACTAGTGTAGTTTGGATCCAATTTATCCCATATATTAAATAAAGATGCTGGTTTTATCTTTTGTGTGTGTGCAATAAGCTTGGTATATTTTAAGCCCTAAGAAGTTTTCTGCCTCTTCCTGCACTGTATATGAAATATTTTATTGCTTTTTATTGTAAACATTATATACCATACACAAAAAAATATGTTCTAGAAACTATTGTTCTTATTAACAATAATTCTGAATGTTTTAAAAACGATTGTTCTTGGTTATGCGAACGTTAAGGGAACGTTTCCAATTCATCATTCTGAAAGCATCATAGAAACGTTACTTTTGAATTTTCTCTGAACGTTCTGAAACAAGAAGTAACATTCAAAAAAATGTTAGACTAACGTTTAAAACATTTTCCATGAACGATGTATAAATAATGTTTTTGTGTTAACGTTGTACCGGAAGAACGTTTGTTCATAACGTTGATACATTTCTGAGATTGTGTCCTGTTAGCTGGGATTGTTCATGGAACATTTTATTTCCGAAACAATTTAGGCGAGCGTTCATCTAACTTTTTTTTAAACGTGTTTCAAAGCGTTCAGAGAACATTCAAAAGTAACATTCCCACAATGTTTGCAAAATGATACAAATGGAACGTTCCCTTAACATTCACATGCCCAAACAAAAACATTTTTTGGACTTTCAAAAGTAACTTAAACGGAGGAATAAAATCAAATGGAAAATCTGTGCAAAATGTAGGACACAGTGAAATATCAACTCACATGATTTCTACAATGAATTAAGTATCAAATCAACAGATCACAATGCATGAACACGAACTGATCAAAATCTGCATATTTTCTTTATAAAAACAAATGGAACGATTCACTGCATCACCAGCAGCTGGATCTAACAGCGATTATTTGACTGTTCGCGTGATGATCATCTCTCATATTTAAGCTCAATAACGTTTAAGTTTATGGTCTCATTGTTCAAAGAACTTTTTTTCTGAAATGTTTTAGTTGGACATTCATCTAGTGCTTCAAAGTTACCACTTGTTTCATTCAAAAGTAACGTTCCGATGATGTTTGCAAAATCATAAAACATAACGTTCGTATAACCAAGAAGAAAGTTTTTTTTTTTTTACTCAAACTAAAATATAAAAGTGCTGATTTGTTGAACCTGTTGAATGCAGTCAAGATTGCGATTTATGTAAAAAATGGAGAAAACAGAATGAGATTGTTTATTTTTCTTCCCGTCATGTTGCGGGAAAAGTATGAATGATGTTAATAACAATTTTTCTTAAATGGGGGAGGGGAGAGTCAAACGGAAAACCTGTGCAAAATATTTGCAAAATGGCAAAATTCAACTCATTTTATTTAGCCAAAAACTATTTTCAACGTCAAATCAACAGAGAATGTCAAAATATGACATTGCATGAACTGAACTGACCAAAATCATTCTTTACAAAAATTAACTAAACGATTCAGTGCATCACAAGCGACTGAGCCAGACTGATGCAGACCTGAACAGTGTCTTACGAGCGACGAAAGACCGCAGAGATCAGGTGAAGCTCAACACGTTTCAGCGCTTGATATAATGTGATGGGATCAATGAATTTCAATTCTGACCCCCTGCTGGTGGATCTGGTCTCGCCCTTTAACCCCGCGAGACAGGCGAAGGTAGGAATAATCCACAGAGAGAACGACAGGCAGAGAGAAGGCATTGGTGGCAAATGGTCCGTGAAGAGAAGCATCATGTCGCTGGAGCGCGCTTTATTCAGCTGGCCGTATATTGTTGTCCTGAAAGACGACAGCCGCATGAACTTACAGCAAGTAAATTTCTCTCTTTCCACATGTTAGCTGCCTCATTTGCTTTCAATCAAAGCCCAGGGTTGAAAGAGACGGGGAAAGGGAACGGCGAAGAGGGGGGGAAAAAAGTGTCAGAGAGTGGAAAGAATGAGTGAAGAGATGAAAGTAAAGCAGTGAAATCTGGCCAGTGGATTGGAAGTGAGGCGTAAATCACCGTGTCCTGAACCGAGAGACACATTCTCCTTCTGATGAGAGAAGATGATCTGCATCAGCGTCTTAATAACCCTGAGATCCTTAACTCTATTCCTGAGGCCTCTGATTGACTGACTTTCATCAAGTAAGCGTCAGAATAACTGCAGTAATATCTCCAGATGAACACTTACTGCACTGAAGCAGCTCAGCTTTACTTGATTCTCCATCAATCATGTTTTAGAGTCTCAAATCTGATCCTCAGGATCTTTTGAGGAGCGTTTGTTTCCAGAAGCTTTACTTTCACTGTTCCTCAGCGGAGGAATGATCTTCACAAGCCTCCAGAACATCTCACATCTTCATTTCTTCAGCTCTCAATCACTGCATTATATGTTTGGAGCATTTCACTCTCATCTTATTATTACTGGAGATATAGAGCCACGACTGATATTTAGATAGTTTTATGTCAGTATCTGCTGTATTGTTATAAAGATCTCATCACATTAATATCAGCATCTGCAGCAAATTCATATTTTTGCTTAGTTTGAGTCTCTGAATAAATTTTAGCATTTTTTTCCTCCGTATTCACACTATATTAGACTATATGAGCCATAAGAGCCTGATGATCAAATATGACACTTAAAAAAACTTATCAAAAATATATTTTGGTCAATAAACAGTTCCATTTAAAAAAATGTTTTTCTGACTATTTTCAGACTAAATTCTTTTTCATCTTTGTTTTTGTTAACGAGCAGTGAGATGAGATTTATTCTGTGGCAGAAACCAAAAAAAAAAAAAACAGAATTGCAAGATATAGACTCTGAATTCTGACTTTCTTCAAAAAAAAAATTCACCACAGAATAAAAAATAAATAAAATGGTGAAAATTGATGGTGGGAGATTAAGACATCCAAAGGATGTTCAAAAGTGTGTTGATTATAATTATGAGCAATTAAAGCTCCACGTCTAAATAAAATTTGTCTAAAGGGTTAATAAGTGGTTCCATTTCAAATGCTATAATTTCATTGGTCAGGTTGCACAGGGTTAAAAGCATTGAATACAAAAACACACGCATGCAATGCCTCGTGGAAGCTTTTATATCTCACAATTCTGATTTATTTTTCATGCAGTTCTGAGAAAAAACATAAACTCAGAATTCTAGCAATTCTATTATCTTGCAATTGTGGCCTTTTTTCTCTGAATTTTGAGTTTACATCTCACAATTCTGTTTGTTCTTTTCTGACCCTGGAATAAATCTCATCTCCCCGCTCTTTAACAGAAAACGAAGAAGAAGAAAATGATGAAAAATGAAAGCAATGACGACGGAAATCTCAAAATTGAGACATCTAAAGCATATCCAGATGTTTGAAGCTCAGAGCAACTCGTCACATTCACATTCAAATATTGAGAAAATCTCATGTTTGAAACATGAGAAACATGATCTTTACTTAATATCCTAATGATTTTTGGCATAAAAGACGCACGTTTAATTTTTTGCATAACATTTTTCAAATGTGTTATATGTTCACATGCATTCAATAAATAAAGTTTTTCTTCAAAAGAGAATGTATTGTCTTGGATTGAAAATATATGGAGGGCTAAATAAATTCTTAAATGCTTTTAAAAATACATTTATATTTTTTAAATGCATTTTCAAACAAAATGAGCAAAAAATATATCAGTAGAAAATATATTTACATTGAAAGCAAACATATTTTGGGGGATTTTTTATTTTTTTTGCCATATGGGTTTGAACGGAAATAACTTTGCTTTACTCGATTGTCCAGACATCGTTTTTTTTTTAGAAAAATCATCTTCAAATGTGATTCTTTGAGGAAGGTTTATTTGTTCATCTCTCAATCGTCACTGGATTGCATTGCATTATATGTTTAGAATCTGCAGAGCTTTGATCATAACGATCTCTTACCTTCGGATTCTCCAGAATTCCAGATTCATAGCTGTTAAAAGAGATTTTTAGTAAGTTTTCTGTAATGCAATAACAGCAGTAAAGAACGCATGCAGGTAAACAGAGACCACTCACTCTCTCTCTCTCACACACACACACTCACTCACTCTCTCTCTCTCTTACAAACATTTGAAACTCTACAAACAGTATATACAGTCGATTCTTTATATATGCAAAACGGAGCGACTTTTATCAGTCTCAGAATCCACAAAGATTAACTTGAAGTCATCAAGACACAAAAAGAGCTGTTCAGACAACAGGTTGAAGAAAAAGTGATATTAATAAAGACAGATGTCTGTGATCAGATGATGAGCTCCATCTAGTGGAGAGAATCAGGACTGAATCAGTTTTGTTTGTGGCAAGCTGTTATCGTCTTTAACTTAAACTGAAAATAAAACCATTGTTGCTTTAAATTACATAAACATGAACTGAAATAAAATATAAAGACGTAAAGTACTAAAACACTAAAAATGAATTAAAATAAAAGCCATACAGACACACACACACATATATATATATATATAAATACTAAAATAAAATAAAAAATCTAAATATTACAACTTATAAAAAACTGTATCTCAAAATTACTAAAATAACATTAATAATGGTTCTCAACCTTTTTGACTCCTATATAATAACCAAAAGCCCTACAAAATATTTGACAATGCTATTTTTTATTTACAGGAATTAGGAGTGGCAATATTTTAAATATAACTAAATTAAAATAAATATTAAAATAATTCAGTGAATTTGCATTAATTAGTAATTGTACAAATTTTACAGTTGTCTGTGATTGCTTTTTGATGATGCTGTTGTTGTTGTTTTTTGGAGCAATTTATTAAAATAATTTAATGCAAATAATTAAATTAATGAAAATTAGCCATTTCTAACTAATACGATAAAGCTTAATATAACTGAAAAAAGAAAAAAATATTTATTAATTATAAAAACGTCCATGACTTTTCCAGGTCTAGAAATCACACTTCTCAAATTCTCTACAAAATTCTATACATTTTTAAGATGTTTTAGCTCATTTCAAAGGCTTTACGTTAAGTCATTTTGTGTCCTTTTCTGCCCCCTAGTGGTCCCCGGACCCCTGTAGAGCTATACAAAGAACATGAAAGAATTTGATAACAAATGTTTGCATTCATATTAAAATCCCTGAGTTTTGGTTGCAGTCTCCGGTGTTCTGGAAGGTCTGAGCATAGTCTGTGACACTGAGAACTCAGTTTGCAAGGAAAGTGGAGAAAGCGTAGAAGCGGGAGACTAAAGAGCAAGTTTGAGCTGCACCTCTGCGTACTCCATCAGGTCGGTCCGGCCCCGGAAGCGGCTGTAAAACTCTGGGATCCTCCACGGAGCGATGATCTGAGACGCAGACATGAAGACGGTCAGAGACAGACAACGGGTTAATAATAACGCTCGTGTGACGGATCTGAACTCACCTGCACTTGAGGATAGAGCGCGTAACACGTCAGCTCGAAGCGGATCTGGTCATTCCCCTGCAGCAAACACAGCACTAAAACATTCATTCACACGCTTCCTCACATGCGTCTGTGCATATGTGACCCTGGAGCACAAACCCAGCCATAAGGGTCCATTTTTCAAAATTGAGATGTATACGTCATCTGAAAGCTGAATAAATAATCTCTCCATTGATGTATGGTTTGTTAGGATGGGACAATATTTGGCTGAGATACAACTATTTGAAAATCTGGAATCTGAGGGTGCAAAAAAATCTAAATATTGAGAAAATCATCTTTAAAGTTGTTCAAATGAAGTTCTTAGCCATGCATATTACTAATCAAACATTAAGTTTTGATATATTTACGGTAGGAAGTTTACTAAATATCTTCATGGAACATGATCTTTACTTAATATCCTAATGATTTTTGGCATAAAAGAGAAATGTATAATTGTGACCCATACAATGTATTGTTGGCTATTGCTACAAATATCCCCCAGCGACTCAACACTGCTTTTGTGCTCCAGGGACACAGATGAGCTTCAGAAAATAATGATCACATTTTCTTTGGATTTAAACACCATTCTCAGTGTTTTTCTGTAATTAATGGACACATTTACTTCTGTGTTCTTCAGGGATCACAGTCTTTATGACCAATGAATTTGCATGACTTTTCTAGTTGTTTGTGATTTAAATATATAGAAATATATATATATATTACAAATAGCAATTTCTTATCAATTTGTCTCTACTCAAATATTTGTATATATTAATTATAGAAATTTCCATAGCTTTTTAAGATTTTGATGAATTTTTAAAAAGATAAAATAAAATAAAATGGATAATTGTAATAATAAGAAAGAGAAGTTTCTGAATCCCATCAAATCTCTGATCAGAGTCACAGAACAGACTCCTGCTGCCATCTAGAGCTGAAACACATTAAAGATGCACTTAACCCACAGAGAAACTTGCAAGATCACAGGGAAAACATACTTTATTTTACCTAAAGGACTTTATTCTTTTTATTCTACTGAAAGGATGTTGTCAATATACAGTTTAACATTCAGTCACTGTAACTTTAGGCTGTTTCTGTTTGATCAAAAATACAGTAACAATTGTGAAATATTATTCTAATTTAAAACAGCTGTTTTCTGTTAAACTGTAATGTATTTCTGTGATGCGCAGCTGTATTTTCAGCATCATTCCTCCAGTCTTCAGTGTCACATGATCTTCAGAAATCACTATAATATGCTGATCTGCTGCTCGAGAAACATTTCAGATTATTATCAATGTTGAAGACAGTCGTGCTGCACGATATTTCTGTGGAAACCGTGATACAATTTATTTTTCAGGATTCACAGATGAACAGAAAGTTCAAAAGAACAGCATTTATTTGAAATAGAAATCTTTTGTGACATTATAAATGTCTTTACTGTCACTTTTCATCAATTTATGCGTCCTTGAAGAAATCAATACTTGCGTTCCTCAAGGACGCATAAATTGATCAAGAGTGCCAGTAAAGACATTTATAATGTCACAAAAGATTTCTATTTCAAATAAATGCTGTTCTTTTGAACTTTCTGTTCATCTATTCATACAAAAAATATACATTTTTTATATTTTCAACATTGATAATAATCAGAAATGTTTCTCGAGCAGCAGATCAGCATATTATACTGATTTCTGAAGATCATGTGACACTGAAGACTGGAGGAATGATGCTGAAAATACAGCTGTGCATCACAGAAATACATTACAGTTTAACAGAAACAGCCTAAAGTTACAGTGACTGAATGTTAAACTGTTCAGCAGCTTATTAAACTTAGCTCTTCCTATCATTTGCATGTTATTCCTCTATATAGGTGTTTTCACATCTGTGTCCCTGCAGCACAAAAGCAGTGTTAAGTCGCTGGGGGATATTTGTAGCAATAGCCAACAATACATTGTATGGGTCACAATTATACATTTCTCTTTTATGCCAAAAATCATTAGGATATTAAGTAAAGATCATGTTCCATGAAGATATTTTGTAAGTTTCCTACCATAAATATATCAAAACTTAATGTTTGATTAGTAATATGCATTGCTAAGAACTTCATTTGAACAACTTTAAAGATGATTTTCTCAATATTTAGATTTTTTTGCACCCTCAGATTCCAGATTTTCAAATAGTTGTATCTCAGCCAAATATTGTCCGATCCTAACAAACCACACATCAATGGAACAAATACAACCTGTGCAGCGGATCTCACAGTGCTTTAAAGATCCTAAAATAGGTACCTGAGGTAGACGTCTTTACTCAGACTGAGCGCAGACACCTTCACGAGTCTCTGTCCGCTGATCAGACAGTTCCTGGCCGCCAGGTCTTTATGCACAAAACCCCTGTTTGATAAATGCTGCATCCCATGAGCCACCTGAGCACAGATAGAGACCTGCGGAGCACCGTGAACATCAACACAGAGTCACACGAGTTATTAAACACACAAACCACCTCAGGGACACAGCAACAGGTAAAATAATAATGAATGGTCACAGGAAGAACTTCAACATTGATAATAATCAGAAATGTTTCTCGAGCAGCAGATCAGCATATTATACTGATTTCTGAAGATCATGTGACACTGAAGACTGGAGGAATGATGCTGAAAATACAGCTGCGCATCACAGAAATACATTACAGTTTAATAGAAACAGCCTAAAGTTACAGTGACTGAATGTTAAACTGTTCAGCAGCTTATTAAACTTAGCTCTTCCTATCATTTGCATGTTATTCCTCTATATAGGTGTTTTCACATCTGTGTCCCTGCAGCACAAAAGCAGTGTTAAGTCGCTGGGGGATATTTGTAGCAATAGCCAACAATACATTGTATGGGTCACAATTATACATTTCTCTTTTATGCCAAAAATCATTAGGATATTAAGTAAAGATCATGTTCCATGAAGATATTTTGTAAGTTTCCTACCATAAATATATCAAAACTTAATGTTTGATTAGTAATATGCATTGCTAAGAACTTCATTTGAACAACTTTAAAGATGATTTTCTCAATATTTAGATTTTTTATTTAGATATTTAGTCCGGAGCAGGTTTATTCCAGTGTAAAGTGAGCACCTTTCCTGTGGCTCCGTGAGAAACGTACTGCGCTCCTTCTCTCCGGGCGATCTGCACCTGTCTGCGGGCGATGCAGGGCCGGGCGATAGATGTACCCAGCAGATAGCGGTCCTCGTAGACGGCATTGGCCTGCAGCGCGGGCCAGATGAACTCCTGCACAAACTCCGAGCGCAGGTCCTCGATGAACACCTGAAGCACAGACACACACTGAGCACACAGTCACTCGCTGCACGCAGCTCCGTCACCAGCGCTTCTCCTCTTACCTTCTCAGCTCCAAGCTTCTCCGCTTTCTTCCGCGCAGCATCAAAGTCCTCATCCTGTCCGATATTGGCCTTCAATGCAATAAAAAGGGGGTTTATGTTGTTAATCAAACATTGAGAAAACATAAAAGTTCAAGGCAATTTTAAGGCAAAGGCATTTTTGAGTTCTCAACTTGTTTTTGTAAGAGATGAAACATTTTCTCAACTTTTGATTTTTTACAGTGTAGGAAGCTAGTTTGACTTTTAAAGCCAAGGGATTAGTTGAGGCTCCTCTCACAGCTAGAGCTGGACATTTTCTGCTAATTTCAAGAGTTGCAATAAAAAATAAAATAAAGAAATGAAAAAAAAATTTATAAATGGAAATCAAAAATCTAAAAATAAAATGAATTACATTTTTTTTATTTAATTGTATTTAAAAATCCTTCAATGCAATAAAAAGGGGGTTTATGTTGTTAATCAAACATTGAGAAAACATAAAAGTTCAAGGCAATTTTAAGGCAAAGGCATTTTTGAGTTCTCAACTTGTTTTTGTAAGAGATGAAACATTTTCTCAACTTTTGATTTTTTACAGTGTAGGAAGCTAGTTTGACTTTTAAAGCCAAGGGATTAGTTGAGGCTCCTCTCACAGCTAGAGCTGGACATTTTCTGCTAATTTCAAGAGTTGCAATAAAAAATAAAATAAAGAAATGAAAAAAAAAATTATAAATGGAAATCAAAACTCTAAAAATAAAATGAATTTAATTTTTTTTATTTAATTGTATTTAAAATTAAATTAAATTAAATTAAAATAAAATAAAATAAAATAAAATAAAATAAAATAAAATAAAATAAAATAAAATAAAATAAAATAAAATAAAATAAAATAAAATAAAATAAAATAAAATAAAATAAAATAAAATAAAATAAAATAAAATAAAATAAAATAAAATAAAATAAAATTAAATTAAATTAAATTAAACATTTACTTCTGTAAAGTCTGCTGTTTATGGTACTATAGAGCAGGCTTTTGCCAAACAGGGGTTCACGAGTTGATGAAAGATAATAATTAATTAAATTTTAAAAATCCTTTTAAAATAAAAACAAGAAACTTACTAAAAAAGTAAATATTTTATTTGTTGACCTCCATGTTATTTAAGCATTAACCAACACCAGAGAACCGTGAACATGCAAATGTGTTGAAATATTAACTTTATTTTTAAGGGGTTTGGCTGACAAAAAAAACATTTGTGTTCAAAACTAAATTATTAAGATAATTTAAATCCTAAAAAATAAATAAATAAAACAATAAATAGATTAAAATTACCAAAGGCGTTTTAAATAAAATAATTAAATTAATATGACATTAGTGTTAAAATTAATTAAAACATTTTAGATTAAATTAAATTAAATATCTTATTAAACAAATCCTTAAGAGAGCTTACTGAATAAAAATAATCATCTACTCGCATTAAAAGCAGAGCCGTTGAACAAGTTTTGTTTAACAAGAACAAAAAGCTTGTGATTTATGAAAGAAAACAGATAATCTTTAACAAAAAGAGAAACTTGTCTTGTGTATCTGGACCTTTGACCACAAGCCTGGTCCAAACTACAGCGTAATCAGAGCAGAAATGCAGCGTTTATGCTGCTCAAACAGTAATGCGTGATGCTAGCAACATCAGTTTCATGGATTCGAACCCTAGAGAATGCATGTAATGCAGATGGGACACGAACGAAGATTTCATTCATCATTGCTCTAGTTTTACGTCATTCAAACCAGTTTCCCCGCCTCAAATCAGGCTATTCACAATTGCTACTGCACTTCCTCAATGCATTTTCCCTGTTTATTACTACGAAGCTGCTTTGAAACAACCTTCACTGTATAAAGCTCTATAGAAGTAGATGTGATGACATTTTGCCTGCGTTTGGACAGTCTACTAAAATAACACTACATCTCTATAGGGTTATGTTTTCAAAACAATTCAGAGAACAATTTAGTTTAAAAAAATTACTTTGACTAGTGCACATTTTCTATTTTCAATTAATCTTAGTGCCTTTTGAGAATATATTGCTTAAAGTTTACTTTCATAATGGGGCATGTTGTCACAAAAACACACAACAAAATTATTCAAACTTATACTAAAACTCAAATTAAAAGGGGAAATAAAAATATAAATAAAAATTTATAATATTTTTTTTAATTCTAAATATGAAATACCATCACACAAAAATATTATATAAAATAAATAATAAAAATAAATAATACTACAAAGAAGAAGAAAATAATAATAATTTTATTTCAGCTAATTTCCAAGGCAACATTTCTCATTTCCATGTAGTTTAACTTGATGTACTAAAATAACAAACTAAAATAAAAATGATAAAAAAAAACTATATAGATATATTTAAAAACAAGAAACACTAATACAAATGACAAAAACACAAAATTACTAAAAAAATAAATAAAAATGTAAAAATAAAAAAAATCTAACTAAAATTCAAATGCAGCATAAAATATAAAAAATGTAATCTAATTCAAAATATTCACTCAAAATATTATTCACTATAAATATCTATATATAGTGTGTATAAATGTACATATATGTATATTATATATATACACTGTAGATGTTTGAATGTTGTCCTCAGAAAATGTGTTAGTATGCAACATGAAACTAAACCTCAGGAGCTCCTGACTCAGACGCCTGCAGACAGGCCTATTGTTCCTCACAGCTCATGTATAATCACAGCATTGTTCCTCTCGGCTTACGCTTGCGCTGTGCTTCTGCTGCGGACACACAGCTTATGAACACTCATCTCAAACCCAAACCGTCCGATGAAGAGCGCAGATGACTCACGGCTGGTTAGTGGGAAAACGCTTGGTGTGCAAGTCTTCACAAGCCTGGGCTCAGCATGGGAATAAAATCATTTCACCAAACACCTTCCTGCACTGCAGCTCTCTGCTAACGATGAGCAGATTCCCTGAAGGACACCATGTGTTGTGTGAGGAGTTACCAGGTAGGCGATGACTTCGTAGCCCTGCTCCTTTAGCCACAGCAGAATACAGGAGGTGTCCAGACCCCCGCTGTAGGCCAGAACCACCGAGCCCTTCGACATCTGACCGCTCTGGACCTTCAGAGAGAGAGACACACACACACACACACACACACACACACACAGAGAGAGACACACACACACACACACACACAGACAGAGAGAGACACACACACACAGAGACAGAGAGAGACACACACACACACACACAGACAGAGAGAGACACACACACACAGACACACCCACACACACACACACACACACACACACACA